TGCAAGGGATCCTCTTGCATCAGCCTCCTGAGTAGTTGGGACTACAGTCACCCAACACTACGCCTGGATTTATGCCTTAGGTTTCCACTCCTGGTGTTGGATCATCATCACCAACACCATTATTGCTGCCTTTTGTTGAGTCCTTACTGTGCTCTGGGCATGGTGACCTATATATTAGTTTTTGAGATGAAAAAAAAAGCCCTTAAAATATAGGGCTAAACTAGATGATTTATTATGGCCTTTTCTAATCCTGAGACTTTCTGAAATAAAATCAGTTTCTCCTCAAAGTACTCTAAAATATTGTGCCTGTTTAACAGATGTGGAAAATAATCTTTGGATAGATTAGGCACCTTTAACAAAGTCACACTGCTAGTAAGTGGAAAGATGATTTGGTTTTAAAGTCTACTGGCTTCACAATCATCCAAATACCCCTGTTCTTATTCTCCATCTTTGTTATGTCACTGACAATGCTATTTTCTCATCAGTATAGTACCACATACTTTTTTGCTTAAATATTGCTCCTGCCAGTGATTAACATTCAGTAAGGGATATGGTAACTCAGGAATTAAACTTTATAAATTATCTATTTTTCTGCAACTGCTCTCCCAAACTGAAAGTGACTATGAAGTTTTTAAAAATTTTTTTTTACACAAATGGAGCACAACTTTTCATTTCTCTGGTTGTACATAATGTAGAGTCACATTATTCTTGGGGGTAATAATGTCCATCTCATTCTACCATCTTCCCCCCACACACATTCCCCCTCCCCACTCTTCCTTCTGCTCCATCCCAAGTTCTTCCATTCTTCCCTTGCCCCCCACCCATTATGGATCAGTATCCACTTATCAGAGAAAACATTTGGCCTTTGGTTTTGGGGGATTGGCTTACTTCACTTAGCAATGATATTATCCAACTCCATTCATTTATCTGTAAATGCCATAATTTCATTCTTCTTTAAGGCTCAGTAGTGACTGTGAAATTTTTACAAGTGTTTTCCAAAACATAACCCATGTCTTTAATGCTTCCTTTATGCTTGTTTACTGTGACTCCTCTCCAGCTTGTAGCACTTTGCCTAAGGCATCATTTCTGCCTACAGTTATTTATAATATCTGGGTCAGACCACGAGGTTTCCCTGTTGTATGAGAGTCCTTACTGAACAGGTGGAAGATGAAAGTAGAGGAGGAGATGAGCACATGTCTTCACATTTAGGTATGTGTGTAAATGTAGGCAGGGGTTTTGGGAGGGACAGTTGATTGGTATCATGAATGGCTAAATAAAGGACAGCCAAAAAAGTAGTTATGCCATGACTGGTGTGTCCTAACATACACATTAGAAGTTGGTGTGGGCCCTACAGGGTCATTGATCTGGCTGAATAGTGCCTGACCCACACCAGTCCTCCAGAAAATGTTTGATGGTTAATGCAAAATTGTGTATTTTGTCAGAATACTATTACATGAGTATGGACAACTACCTCACTGCACATTATGGAGGGACCAGGTGAAAAGAAAGGTTTAGGTAAGCATGCATCTTTCCACTAGTAAATGCAGTTCAGTGCAGGTCCTCTGGTGGTAAAGTCAGCATCTTCATATTTGTTTATATTTAGGACAAATAATTAATTTGAAATATTTAGTATAGTGAGCAACCATCTATCTAATCTTTCATTGATCTGCCTGCTCTACCTATAAACTATAAACTTCTCAAGGAGAGAAAGAGGGAAACTGAGCTATAGAGTATGATTATGTTATATTGTAGTCAAATTCTTTATACTCTACATATACCTGCTCACAAAGTTAGGTTTTTCTTTCACTGTAGATTGCTGTCTTAGAGAAATTATTTTGACATTGACTTGGTTTCTTTTTTAGGCTGAGGACCTGATGAAGTTCCAGAATTCCTAATGTAGTTCCAGGCTATAAATGAGAACCTGGGAATGCAATTCAAGTGTTTTGTGGCTGTGTTTACTCACTTAAGTGTATTTAACCACACTTAAGTTTAATAGTGATGAGAAAAATATAGTGCAAAGCCGCAGATATTCAGGGAAATGAGTAATTAGGAAGGCATTCATTTGAGAAGTCTCTAAAGTGAAGCTGTCCTTGAACACACAAAACAGAATAAAGAAGAAGGGCATTTGAGAGTGAATTGGAAACTATCTTGAAATAAAAATTCAAGATAGTTAAATAAAAATATTTAACTGTAAGACTGACTTTTTTGAAACTATATATTCTCTAATGTTGGCTTATGAACCAGTTTTAAAGTGATATATGTTCACCCACTAAAGCATAATAATTATAAAATAACATGTTTGTTGCTGTATAGTAATTTGACTGCTTACTATGCTGTGGGCTTAGTGACAATTTTTTTTACAGATATTACCTCATTTAAATCTATAAATCACATTATTATTATCCCACTTTGCAGATGAGGAAAGTGAACCCTAGTGAGTTAATGAACTGCTTACATTCAAATACCCAGTAAGTAGAAAGATGGGAACTGTGCCCAAGTCATTCTTTGATCTTAGTCTTTGATCTGCACTTGTAACCATTATGATGGTATAGATACACGAGTATTCTAAACACTACCAGTATTCCACGTTTATAAGAAATCATAAACAAACAACAGAAAATAGCAATAAATCATCTCTTGTACTTATGTGGGGCCATGTCTATTAATAGAGTAGGTACAAATGTGGAAGTACATTTATGCCATCATTAAAAGTTCCTATGACTACATAAGCAGACAGCCTTATTTCTCCCTAATCCCCTTCCAGTCCTTTTGGTTCCAGGATCTAACCCATAATCAACTCTGTGTACACTGACTCATGGTGGAGAGAAATGACTACGATCTCACTTTCATTAACCAAAATTGGAATTTGAAACCCTAAATTCAAGCCACCTGGAAACTGACAGTAAAGTCACAATTATAATAGAAGACAGGAAAGAGGAGAAGGTGGGGGAAGTCAAGGGAATATTAGAGTTTTAAAAATACTTAAGTTGTTACAAAAGGATCATGTCCCTTTAGGTCAGGGAGTTGGTGCTTTTCAGATGATGAGCATCTGTAGATGGATCCACTGAACTGTGGACTGCTCCATCAGTAAGAGCTATCGTTTACACTGACATTCTACCACAAGGCAAACTTAGATTTTTCCAAAAGAAAGTGTCCTTAAACACTTGTCCAATTTTAAATTACAGACCAAATTAGACAGGCTAACTAAGGCCATGTCCTCTTATTATTGTGATTTGAGGTCATATTACAAGGCACTGCCCTTCCTCTGCCCAAGGATAGATGTGGGCATGGCTTTTTTCCTGCAGTGAATTAAAGTGGAGCTCCCAACAGGGCTGGAAAACCGATGCCATTGCATGAAGCCTAACATTGGATGCTGAAGGCATTGCGTACAGGCCTACTGGATTTGATTTTTTTCAGACATGTTCAACCACTTATATAAACSTAAGTTCTGTTTGTTCTTTATATCGAGTTCTGAGCCATTGCATATGCAGTTGCCAACACAGAAAAGAGCAGAGTCAGTATAAACTTATTTTGTACACAAAGATAAAACAGATGTTATTTGAAACCCAGTTAAACAATCATCCCTGGAAACATTGCCTTCTGGTAGAGCCAAGCTCCTGCACCCGGGCCTTGGCTGCAGCGTAATTCTCACACTTTACTGAGTTTCAGAATCATCTGGAAGTGTAGATGAAATATAGCTAGGAAACCCGCCCCCCTCTCTGCTAGGAGAGCTCCTAATAGTAGATTTGGGTGGGCTCTGAGAATTGAGAATAAGTTCCCAAGTGATGCTGATGCTGCTGGTTCTGTGACTGTAATCTGAGAAGCACTGGTCTAACATATCCTTTGGTTGAGAAGTAAAGATTGGGCTCTCAGGCTGGGCTTGTAGAACAGTGGTTGAGCCCTTGCCTTGCATGTGTGAGGCACTGGGTTCGATCCTCAGCACCATATAAAAAAATAAATAAATAAAACAGGGATATTGTGTCCATCTACTACTAAAAAATGTTAAAAAAAAGATTTGGGCTCTCAATCACTATTCTCAACTGCTGGAAGGATATTTAGCTGAGCACACATGTAGTGGGAAATACACCTATTTATTCATTGCTTTGTGCCTAGTATGGCTTGAAAGTGACTGAAGGGATTGAAAATTTCAAAAGTATTGGCCATGATCTTTGATTAACATAATAGACTGAAAAACCAGTATGACATATTTAACCAACAAATGAAATTACACTTGATACAACTGGACTCTGATAGGCCATTCTGAAAAATCTGGCTACAGAACTACGTTGAAGGACATATGTTTTATATGTTAAAGAATATGGGAAATTCTATATTTGATATCCATATTCTAGTACAATGATTTGCATAGTAAAAGATCATCTTGTCAGTTATCACTCGATATTCACAAACTGCCTTTCTAATCCCTAACTAGTTAAAAAGTTGTAAGACTAAGATAATAGTATTAAAAAGAAAGAAAGAATACCTAACTAGGGAAGCAGTTCCACAGAATCATGATTTATACAGCCTCTATTTTTGTCCAGGAATGCTTTTTATATATTTATTACCCCATAGATCATTAATATCATGTGTTCCAAAATACAAAGTGAGATTCTATGTATTTCTCAGTATGGATAATTGGTGACTTTCAGTCCTTGATATATACCAAACTTTAKTCTTTGGTATATTAAGCACATCAGAATGAACAGTTGTCATAAAATATTAAATGAAAAACCAATTTAAGATAAATTTGTGTCTTACATCAAAAAAATTCCTTGACTGACACTTAAGAACAAGTGTATGTTGGGCTGGGGTTGTGGCTCAGGGGTACAATACTCACCTAACATGTGTGAGGCCATGTGTTCGATCCTCAGCATCACATAAAGAGAAATAAATAAAGGTATTGTGCTCATCTACAACAGAAAAAAAAWWWTWAAAAAAACAAGTGTATGTTTATACATTTCTTTCTTTTTCTATTTTTAAGGACAAAATTGAATGACAAAATGGAGAATATGCTACTTTGGTTGATATTTTTCACCTCTGGGTGGACTCTCATTGATGGATCTGAAATGGAACAAGATTTTATGTGGCACTTGAGAAAAATACCCCGGGTTGTCAGTGAAAGGACTTTCTATCTCAGCAGCCCCACATTCGAGGCAGACGCCAGGATGGTGGTAAACAGAGTGTGTGGCATCGAATGCCAGAAAGAACTCCCGGCTCCTGGCCTTTCTGAATTGGAGGATTCTCTTTCCTATGAGACTGTCTTTGAGAATGGCACTAGAACCTTAACCAGGGTGAAAGTTCAAGGTTTGGTCCTTGAGCCAACTCAGAATAGCACTCCAAAAGAAGCAGCTGTTAGGAGAAAGAGACAAGTGTATGGCACCGACAGCAGGTTCAGCATCTTGGACAAAAGGTTCTTAACCAATTTCCCTTTCAACACTGCGGTCAAACTCTCCACGGGATGCAGTGGCATCCTCGTTTCCCCTAATCATGTCCTCACAGCCGCGCACTGTGTTCATGACGGAAAGGACTATGTCAAAGGTAGCAAAAAGCTAAGGGTAGGATTGCTGAAGATGAGAAAGAAAGGTGGAGGCAAGAAGCGCAGAGGTTCTAAGAGGAGCAAGAGAGAAGCTGAGGCCAGTGACCAAAGGGAAGGTACCAAAGTGAGTCTGCAGGAGAGACCCACGAGAAGAGGGAGAGTCGAGTTGGGTCGGGGTCAGAGAGTGGSGGAGGGAAAGCCTTCTTTCCAGTGGACGCGGGTCAAGAATACCTATATTCCTAAAGGCTGGACGAGAGGAGCAGGTGGGGATGCGGCCTTGGACTATGACTATGCGCTCCTGGAGCTGAAGCGCGCTCACAAGAAGAAGTATATGGAACTAGGAGTCAGTCCGGCCATCAAGAAGATGCCTGGAGGAATGATCCACTTCTCTGGCTTTGATAACGACAGGGCTGATCAGTTGGTCTACCGGTTTTGTAGCGTGTCTGATGAATCCAGTGATCTCCTCTATCAATACTGCGATGCTGAGTCGGGCTCCACTGGCTCTGGGATCTATCTGCGTCTCAAAGAGCCAGACAAAAARCACTGGAAGCGCAAAATAATCGCGGTCTATTCAGGCCACCAGTGGGTGGATGTCCATGGGGTTCAGAAGGACTATAATGTTGCTGTGCGCATCACTCCACTCAAATATGCCCAGATTTGCCTCTGGATCCACGGAAATGATGCCAATTGTGCTTATGGCTAAGACAAAGCTGATACAAAGTTATATATCATCTAAGTCGCAAAGAAAACCTATTCTGATTTTCGTTAGTGAGATCACCTCATAGGATATGCTTGGACTTGAATCTATCAATAGCATTTGAGCATTTTTACAAATTTATTTTCTTACAATTTAGGAGATTTTCATACATTTAAAAATGTGTAAGAACATTTTTAGCGGGGCACYTGAGTGCCAAGTATATACTCTTTACACGGTGGTAAGTTTTATTTGTGGACAGATTTTTGTTTCTTTCTGCCTTCTTAGAAATTAGACATTTTAAAACTTCAAACTTGTACAATAATGTRATTTCTCAATGGACTTATTCTTAGGGCCCTAATAGGATGCCAGTTATGTGTAAAATGTGAAACTGCATATACAAAGGTATGCGGTAACACAAGGAAAATCAGGAATAGAGAGGAAGGTTTGCAATTTGTGCTACTCAGAGGTGGATCCATTCAGCTCCTGCCCTCAGAATTTATACTGTTTTTCTGTTGGATCTGAGAAGTTTAGTTTTTTGTTTGTTTGTTTGTTTGTTTTTAGAATTACAAATCAGAATAAGTTTTATAAACTATCAACTACAGCTTTAAACAATAGCAACTGCAGTATCTATTTAAAAATGGGGAAAATACTTTGTTTTATAAAAGAAAACTAGTTTAAAAATAGGAAAGCTGAGACATTTTAAGATCTTAATTTTTTAATACTCAAAATATGAAATTTTTATATATGCATAGGGAAAACTTTTTACAAGTTATGAATCATGTATCCAAAGCCACATCATTTTATGCTATAATCCTACTATGTATAAGGTGCTATATTTTTAAGACAAGGAATTCTGCAGTCTTTTCCTAGAGAGATCCTTTTCCCTCTTGGCAAAGTTCAGCTTGCTTTCTTCTTTTTTATGTGAGGCTGGATGTTGAGCCTAGGGCCTTTTGCATGCCAGGCAAGCGCTGCAACACAGAGCTATACAACCAGCTTCAAGTTCAGCTTTCTTAATAGCACCATAAGTGCTCTTTTGGCGAGTTTTCTGACTAGTAATTTTAGATATGTCCTTTAWTAAAAAGAATATAATTTACAAATAGGATTTTTTTTTTTTAAAGTTTCTAGTTATCTTCTTTAGGGACCAAGGCTGTACACATACTCTGATTATCAAGTGGCATAAGCAGCTAAGTCCAGCAGCTGTACTGGGACAATACATACTTTTTTTKAATTCATCAAACAACTGTTTGGCTATGAATGACTGTAAAAAAGGGTTAGTTCAGGGAATTATGCTTAAAGACTTTTAATGACTTACAATTGAGTGTGTCCTTAAAAATTTAGGAAATGCAGGTCTGATTTTTGGTCTGTTTTTCCTGGCAATTTCTAGAGTCACGTTCTCTTTTCTCTTGACACAGAGTCACTAATTCTGACAGGGCTGCAAATTCATTTTAATTAATTTTTAAGATAGGCCCTAAAATAATGAGAGGCTATCCTTTTGATTAATATGCAAAGGAATATTTGATTAGGTTATCATAAGTGATTTTTGTAAACGATACCCAAAGTAGCTGAAATTCAACACAAATGCATATTCTTTTATAATGTTTGTTAAAAATAATTCAATAAAAATTTATAATAAATCAATTTTATCTCTTACTGTATCTGTATATGTGTTTTACTTCAGGGTTTTAGAAAGTATTAGTTCATTTAATTAAAAATGATTCTATTTAAATCTAAGCATATCTCACTGAACTGTATTTTGTAATTGCTTCTAGTGATACAGGGCTACCAACTCAAAAGTTTTGGTCAGATTTTTTTGGGGGGACACAGCTATGTGATTACTGCAACCAAAACTATTTCAAGGTGAATTCTGTGTATTAACACACTTGCAAACACACACACACAAAGTCTTYATTTTTTATTCTTCTTCATACATAATTTCTAAGGTTTGAGTAAATTCAGAATATTGTAGCATGCTTAGTAAAATAGGTGATTAGGGTTAAAATATGAATACATGTAATTTTCTTAAAATMACCATTCAATACACTTTTCAAAAATGTAAATTTTAAGATGGGTACAATGGCACATGCCTGTAATCCCAGCAACTTTGGAGGATGAGGCCAGAAGATTGTAAGTTTGAGGCCAGCCTTGGCAATTTAGTGGGAACTTGTTGCAACAAAAAATAAAAGGGGCTGGGAATGTAGTGGTAGAGTGCCCCTGTGTTCAATAATTCCTAGTACTGCAACACACACACACACACACACACACACACACACACACACATATACATGCACATACTCGTGTATATATGTGTGTGTGTGTATAAAATTTAACTCATTTGATTTGCAGATATCTTGTTGATTCTTACATGCTCTTCTCTTTTCCAAAAAAAAAAAAAAAAGAAAAAAAGATCGTGTATTTTATATGACCTCTTTGGGACCACTGTTATGTATGATTAACTAGAAGGTCTTGCTTCACATTGTTTTCCTGTAATACTTATTATWTTTGAAACAGAAGGTTAAACTAAATCTATTTCTCTAAACAAATATTCACATACACCTACTGTGCACAAAGGGCTCTACTGACTTAACTGCTTTGAGAATCTTATCAGTGGTTGAATTCAAATAACTTTACAAAACAACTGTAATTTAAAATCGTGGAGTTTTTTTTTCCTTTACATAAATAACATTTCACTTTGGTAATTCTTTTTCTTGTCAGATGGATTTGTGTGGGCAGAAGTAACTTAACATATTTTTCCTTTCTGATGTGCTACCTAATTAAATCCAAAGTTTATTTTGAAAAAGATTTAACTGTATATATGACTGACTTAGTCATTTGGGCTGCTTTAACAAAGAATATCAGGCTCGAAATTTATAAACTACAGAAACTTACTGCTCACAGTTCTGGAGGATGGGAAGTCTAAGGTGAAGGCACCAGCAGATTCAACGCCCGGTGCAGGCCCCTCTTCATAGATGGTGACTTCTTGTTGTGTCTTTGCGAGRTAGCAGCTTGAGTTCCCTCAGACCCCTTTATCTGGGTGAAGCCCTCATGACCCAAATCCTTTCCTAAGGTCCCACCTCTTATATCATCAGGATGGGAATTAGAATTCAACACGGGAATTTTGGGAGGACATATTCAGACTATAGCAATAACTAAGATCAGAGTTGTTCATAAATTTTTACTTTTGTTTTTTTTAATTGGGTCTCCCAGGCTGGCTCAAACTCCAGGGCTCAAATAATCCTTGTGCCTCATTCTCTGAAGTAGCTGGAATTACAAGCATATACCACCACATCTGGCCAATTTTTATACTTATTTTTTGTACATCAAAGAATTCTTTGAAATTATTATTTCAAAGAGGCAATTTCAGCAATTCAGGGACTTACCGAGCAATCAATTCCTAGAGTACCTGAGATTCTGAAAGGTAATGAAAGGAAGCCTCTTCCTGTTCTAGGCACTTTTCTTTAACCAGCCCTGTCCTTCCTGCTGAGAGGAGTCAAGGCTTTTTGTTTTTTTTTTAAAAAAACTTTTGCTTTACTTAGAATTTAAATTACTTCTCCTGATCCAGACTCCAGATTAAAAAAAAAAAAAAGAAGAAGAAGAASAACACAAATTTTAGGATATAGAAGAAAAGAATATAATAGTGTATACTGGAAAGAAGGTCTAGGAGGACACTTTTTTCCTTAAAATTACTTTGAATGAATTAGTTGTTCAAGAAATTTGCAATTGATGATCTTAGAAGGCATAACTTTAAAGAAAACATTTTTTCTTCGCAATACCTATAAAGTGCTGTTTTTATTTATTTTTTCTTAAAACTCAGGATATGCTTGGTGCCAAGATTCTATTGCCAAACAAAAGTACTACTTTATCAAGCAATTGCCTAAAAATAAAAGTGCGTTATTTTTGAGGTGGAACTGAACTTAGTATTCTGCCACTGCGCTTGGAACACTGACTTTGAAAAGGCTTTCTTTGTGGCCTGGGAAAATAAGTGACACTATTGTATCCACCAAATGGGCAGTTGTGCCATTTCACGTAGACTAGTACGTGACTGATGTGGCTCCCTGAACGGATGTCCTGAGCAGTCATTGACTCACAAATAGCAGCATTTCTACTACAAAATTAGAGCTTGACTTTTGGTGGAAACTTAACATTTCATAATGTCATAGGGACCACCTTTTTATGACTAGTAACTAGATGTCTCAATTCTTAGGCTAGATGAAGCAAAGCACTCTGTGGCTTTCCTATGCAGAAGTGTTTGGAAAGTCTCTCCTTTGCTAGAGTCATGTAGAACATTCAAGTAGAGCTCCATACTATGAGCCCTGAATTTATGATATTTCAGTGGCTTCCCTCAGCCTAGTGACTTCCAAATTTGGCTGCTTGTAGGAGTCACGTGGGAATTATTTTAGAAAGCCAGGTTTCAGGATCCAACCGAGACCTACCCTGGAATCCCTAAGAGTAGGGTCCAGAAATTTCAATTTGATTAAGATCTCCAAGTACTTATGATGATTATCCAGGTTTGACAACAGCTGACTTTTCTAAACCAATTATTCCCCCACCTCTTGCACCTTCCCTCTAGGCCTAAAGATGCTTGTCGTCTTCTTCTGGATTAAATGTTTTCATATATATATATATATATATATATATATATATATATATATATATATATGAAAGAAATATATTTATATATTTTTCTTCTGATAAACTACTTCACAAACAGTTTGGTGAGGACAGTGGTGGTATTATCACAACCAAATATACAGATGGCATTCTTTTCAGTATTTTTATAAACTGGAAATGCATTTTAGCAATAGCATTGTAATAATACTGTTTTTCTATAAGAAATGAGTCAAATTTACAAAATCGTAAATATATGTGATCATTTTAAAATTAATGACAAARTTCAGTTTTAATTATCTTCTGGAAATTATATTTTTTTAATTCATAACCCCTCCTATAATATATGTTAAATCAATGTGGCTCAACAAATTTACTGAGTGTAGTCTTAGGCACTTAGG